CCCCCCCCCCCCCCCCCCTTCCCGTTCCTCCGCTTTGGCGCTCAAGACTTATTCTCTCCCCTTGTATTTTTGGTGTTAAAATCTCCTTCTATAAGCCAGCACGTGTACACGAACTGCGCACGTCAATTTATTAGTTGCAGAGCGAAAGACAATTGTCTCCCTGTTTACAAAAGTGTCTTCCTATTTATTTTGCCTGCGGGCGAATAATTCCTCTATCTTTTTTTTCTTATTGAGAATGGACGGCACAGCTTGAACACATCGTGGTATGTATAAAAAGTCCGCTGCTTCAGGAAAAAAAAATTGTCTTATATCATGTTAACATAGACGAAAACAACAAGTCCAGGAGATCACGACAAGTATAATCTCCAAGTGATCGCATTAAAAAAAAGACAACACATGTTAGGAAACCTTTCGGGTTTTGAAACCCAAGATTAAAAGCCGAAAGAGTGATTAGCTGCAAAAATGCACTGAACTTGAAGATGATTTATACTCCAGGAGGGAACGCAAAATTCGTAACCTGGATCCCAACTGTTCGTTTTGCTTTCACATCAAGATTGCCTTGACCGAGAACAAAGCCCTCTACCGAGAACAGAGTTGAAATGCAAACCTAATGTCTATTGTTGCGGTTTGAATTTTTTCGGAACAATAGTCCTTCATTACAATAGTCTTTTTGTCGTGGGGCTCTTATCGAATATATTCTAGGTATACCATGGTCTAAATTGGAATCTTACAGAAGATATGTACCACTAAAATGTAACTAGATTCAAATACCTTAGTGAGAAAAAAACAGCAAGAACGATTGCCCCGAAATAAACAAAACTTCACCGCATGCTGAAGTAAAGGCCGTTCAGTACACTTCACTTGTTTTGACAAAAAGAACGAACAAAGCCCTTTGTCACATGTTAAAGAAGCGCGCGAGGAATCTTAGATGGTAACGTGAGCGCACTCCACTTTGACAAGTGTCAAACATGCCGATCTGTTGTTGTCGTTGTAGCAATCCCTGACTCAGGAGTGATTGAAGTCAACGAAAAAATCAAAGCTGGCCGAACTCGTTAAATGCTTTGCGAAGATAAAATCACCGGAACCCGTCTCCGAGACTTGGTCTTGTTGGCGGTCACGTATGCCCTTGTTCTCTATGATGATAGGCGAAGCGCCAAGACCAACATTGATGATGATGATGAACCATCATCATGATGGCTCACCTTTTCGCACTCTCGATTATTATTATGTAAAATACCCGCTTACTTTCCCAGCTTTCTTTCTTACAAAACAGCCCTATGTGTAAAACATTTTTAAAAATAACCTTACAAGCCTGACAGAAGAGTCTAACTCAAATCTAACTCTTAATCAATTGTTGGCGACAAACAGGAAACAGCATGGGGAACAAAAGCAGGATCAAATAATATCATAGGCCTCTAAATCAAAACGATTAAATCTTATAGTTCGGAAATTAAAATCAAACTGAAATAAAATGGACAATGGCATGGTTCGAAAGCAGAAAAATATTTCATGACTGTAAAGAAAGCAATTACGAACCCGTGTTAGGTTTTTGGGAAACGAAAAGAAATTTTGTTGAAATTTTTAGCATGAAGAAAAAGTGTCATACTTTATCAAACTTTGTGTTGGAAATAATAATTTTGTCAGCTGGGAAGAGTCTATTCAATACTTTAATCACATTCAGCCCTCTTAAACTGAAGTTCTCGTAACATTTGAGCTGTTTTTGATGCACGACGCCATGAAGGACGCGAAAAATTCAGGAATCGACATAACACGTTATATTCAGTCACTCAGACCGGCAACAATCACCTCATTGTGAAGACAACCTTACAGTGATGCATATTGCTATGGATCAAAAGCAAGGCAGGTTGTCAAAGACAATGGCATTTCCATAAATGCCGCAGACAGCACTGAGTGATTCTTTCTTCTAAAAGATATTTTCGGATATTTTGTGATGTGTATACGAGTATAATTGGAAGGCCTTCTCCCAGCGCACATCAATCTTTCACATCGCTAATAATCATTTACATTTTGTCACCGAATTGGACGAAAATTCAGTCCAAGTTGCTTAAACTTACCCATCTGTGTGTCAAACCAGTCACACATGTATCCCTTCGACCAAAAGTCTGTAGCTTGAAGTTGTAACAAGCGTTTACAGCACAGAATGCAAGTTCCCTCTGGGCTCAAATATTTTTTTTGCCGGAGGGTTTTGAAGGCTTCGAGAGAAGTGAACGTTAGGTTGTCATGAGCACTAAACGTGATACATCACTTAAACACGTACTCCTGAAAAATCGATCTATGACGTCAGAAGCCAGAGGGGTCAGGTCGTTCTATTATTAATAATTCTTGATAGTTCCGACGATTACTGTTAACTCAGAGTTCAAGGTTGCTTAATCAATGTAATTGCGATTCTACCATTTTACAGTCTATCGAAAATCTTCTCGAAAAAACTACACGATTTAAAGCGACTCACTCAACCATGTAATAATGAGATGTTGCTGACAGATAGGGTTTGAAAATCGGAGCAAGCTTCTAGAGCATGTTTCATTTAAGCGCGTGAGCGTAACTGATACAAAATTGCTCTTGTGAAAGTAATCAATCACCTAAGAGCTTCTACCCATTTTTTGTTTCCCCTCCCCACCCTCCAACTGATAAATATTAAACATCCAACCTCTCTCTAGAGTTAGACTCAAGGGCCAAAGAAGGAAGGACGTGATCCGTTGTGTTTTCCTTAAACAGATAAATCACACGCGTCAGTCAAACAATCTGTTCGTAAGAAAATGAATGATTTTAGATCATCAAGGGAAAGTGTTGGTTCCCATTCCACACCGAGGAAGGCTTGTAGGTATTAAACATTGTGCTTATTTATGGACCAGTTTCTACCCTGATTGCGTGCTTGTTAATCGTAACTATTGAACTTTCTTAAACCATGACCGGAAAACAGATGCAGTCGCTTTCGACGCGCTTTGAAAATCAGCTTAAATGTGTCACCCGTGTAAAAGAAAAAAAATTTTAAAAACATAGTTACGTAAGAGATCACCCAAAGAACATCTGACGTCCAGGTTCCAAGTTCGTCGTTGCTCATTCGTAACTTTCAATCTAAAGATCTTTATTTAAATTCTCTGTACTGTCTGCGATATATTTGTTTTACATTTGGCTCAGAGAATTTGATGTCAAATCAAAAAATACAATCCGATCGATATTTTCCTTTCTTTTCGTAAGTCACACACGGGAAAGAGAAGGTTTACACTTCTAATGTTACAACATTTACGAGCGTTATGCAGTGAAGTCCCAACAATTTGTCTCTTCGTCTTCCGTTTTATTTAAATCCATCCATTTTTATTACTTTATTTGCGTCTATTCTTTGTCATGCTAGACTCGTACGCTCTGACTAGTAAGAAGTATAATGGCTATCTTGAAAACCACCTGTTTCTGTATTTTATCAGTGCGCCGGAATTAATAATCTCTATAGCCTGTGAGCAACAGCGGGCCTTGATTACTAGTTCTGCAGGACGTTTGTTTCTCTGCCCGAGGGCAAGATTCGAGACGAATCAGGAAGAGGTTCGCCGGGAGTTCCCAATACCAGATCCCTTGCAGACCTTCCACCGTCC